AATAAAATAAAATAAAATACTACCACTGCCACCCTGGGCCCAGCCCACATCATCTATATCTTTGCCAGGATTACTGCAATGGCCTAGGGACTTGTCTCTCTACTTCCATCTTCAACTCTCCACAGTCTTACCGCCATATAGTAGCTGTTATATTAAATAGTAAATCAGATCATACTACTTTCCGCTTCAGTTCCTCCAGGACCTCCCCATCTCACGTAGGAACAACAAATCCAAAGTTCTCACCATGCCCAATCCAGCCACTCTGGTGGTATCTGGCTATTTCCCCCACAGGATAACCATATTATTGTCTCCAGGCCTTTGCACTTACTCTCTCTTCTTCCCAAAGACAGTCACATGCGGTGTTCCTTCACTTCATTCTGAGGTCTACTCTAATGACACCCTCAGGGAGCCCTTCTTGGACACTCTAAAAATAGCACACTATCTAAAAATAGCAGCCCTGTCACTCTAAAACTCTCCTTACTACTGTTGTATTTTTCTTCATAACATGTATCACCACTCTGTGTTCTAGTTCGCTTACTGATGTTTTCCCTTTGCTGACAGGGACTTCGTCTTTTTCACTTGATGGGTCGGCAGAACCTACAAAGGAGCTTGCCTTGTTGGAGATGCTGCATAAGTATTCGTTGAGTCAATGAATGAATGAGAGCAGCTTTTTAAAAAGATCTCAGAGAGTGATCTTAATCCACTCCCCACTTTCTAGATATGGAAATGAATGCCTGGAAGGCCCAAGTGATACATCCGAAGAAAGCCAACAAGTGGCAAAGCTAAGACGTGAAATGTGTCTCCAAGCTCCCAGGATACCACCCTCTCTTAATTTCACCTCTTAGAATCTCCCTTTCTTGCCACTGACACAGCCACTCTTTTGCTCTAGTCCTCGGTATGACTTGCCCACTGCAACAGCCCTATGACTCTTCCCCCTGCATATCCTTATCCTCTCCCCAACCCTCCCCCACTTCCCCACTGCCAAGCCAGAAGAATTTCTCTTTCACTGCTACTATATGACAAACACTTCCTGCAGCAGGTAATATGTAAAAACCTTTTTTATTCTGGCTATTCCCTACCAGAGAGCTGTAACTTCCGTGAGGCAAGTACAGATACCTTACTAATCATTGCCTTTTGCAGTATCTGGTATATGTCATGTATTTTTAAGAAACATTTATTGCATCAGCTGCTCTACTCCACGGAATGCTCTCCAAGATTTCCGCCTGGATCACTCTTTTCATCCCAATCACCTCTTTGCTCAGGAAGACTTGCCCTTTTCATTTGCACCGGCAACCTCCCCTCTGTCTCTTTCTGCTTTATTTTCCTCCAGAGTGTCTATCATGTTCTAATACAGCATCACTCCTAATTTACTCGTGTCTCACTGTCAGATCAACCACTATTAAGGGCAAGGACTTCTTCTGCTTGCTTCACTGTTATGTCTCCAGCACCTAGAATAGTCCCTGGCACACAGGACCTGAGTAATAGTTAACTTGAAAATGAATTGTAAGTCTGTGCTTAAAGTAGTTATGTTCAGGAACACACTGAGGAGGGATAAAGGAATACGTCCCAGTGACTACCAATGATGGCTGTGCCACGTAGAGACTTCTGTGCATCACTGTGATTTGGTGAGCAGTGAGGGGAGGGACACAGAGATTTTTAATAAGGACTCCTGATTCACAGGATGTACTTAGTACTGACTGTTCTGGAAATAACTGTTGAATGAATGAGCCAGCTACATAGCCCATCATGCACTAGGCACTATGTGGGGTGCACACCAATGAAACCTTCTCCTTCAATGGAAGCTACTTCAGCACTAAGTTGCGGGATGGGTGGGGGGGACCCATAGGAAGTGGCAGAAAAAGCACAATGACCTACAAAGGTTAATTTCCACACCAATTTTAGGCTTTTGTGACTGAAAGCAGTACTAGATCTTGTTGACTTATATATAGTTACTTAAAAAAAAAAAAAAAAAAGCATATGGTCTGGTGCAGAACACTGTAATTAATCCAATAGCTATGAATAAACAAAAAGTGGAGAATGTGCTCCAAGACCATCAAATTGGATGTGCGAAGGTGAGAGGCAAGTGGCATTTTGGATGTTCCGTGGAACCAAGAAGTTATAGAAGTTAAAGCAACACTGAATGATATAGCCTAACTGAGAACGGGATGGGAGGGCAAGAGGGAAGGAAGGAAGTCAATTTTTTTTTTTTTTTTTTGGAAGTCAGTTTGTTAACATGACGGAATAGTTTGTTAGCGGATGTTTAATTAATATATAATCATTCATGATTAATACATTATATAACTTGGTATTTATTTTATTCTGAAAAAATTTCTTAGATTGAGAAGACATTCAGGCCTGATAATTTAAAAATTTCTGAACATACTTCTACATGGTTCTATATATTTAAGAAAAAAAAAGTTCCCTTTAAGTATCACTAACAGTATATTCTAAGGATTTCAAAAACACTTTAACCCAAAGGCATATAGCAGTAAAGGAAGGTAAGGTTTAAAAGCAACTATGCGCTTTTATAAACGTCCAAGAGTAGGAAGGCCGTGAGTCCAGACACTGTGATGGAGCCTATAACCCAGAGGGGGTTTTCAGGGAGCCCCCAAAACAGTTCACCCTCCCACACACACACCAGCGAAGGCTCCTCCGCTGCTCCCATGACTCCATTTTACAGAAGCAGCATTTGGCCCCAAAAAGAGTTCTAAGGTTCCACAGCCAACTCTGGTTTCCGCTCTAGTGGATCCCAGGGCTACCAAGTCACGCTATGGTCCTTCTTACACTTAACAGGATATGTCATATGTCATGTCCTATCATCTAAAGGATGATATTTATGCATATATTCTTTCCCATATTATCATTATCTGCTGACTCATTTTCAGTGTGACAGGAGCCTTGTGTTCTCAGAGATAAGGATTTTTTACTTTCTCCACACATTTGGGAGAGGGCTGCTCAAAGGGGCCCATTGCAATGCACACAGGAATAGAAACTAGTCCACAGACAAGACTTCCCTCAGATGTGAGCATCATCGTAAGTAAACAGCTGTGTGAGAATTTAGAAACTACAATTCCACTTTCCAGAAGGCCTTTGGATGTCGTCTCCATAATGTCAATTTGCCACCAAGGGACTCTACACTCCTGGATATTCACAACTTACATAATCAACACTGCACCCAAACCAGCTCTGTCTAATAACTGGGTCCCACTCTAAACTCAATTTTCCTCCTTTTAGCATCAGTAAAAGGTTGAAGTGTATCTGAATAAAGAAAGACAAATCTCACAGGTGGGGAATTTGGGGAGATGCCAGTCAAAAGGGTACAAGCTTTAGTTGTAAGTTGAACAAGCTCTGGGAATCTAATGTATAGCATGGTGACTACAGTTAATACTACTGTGTTGTGTACTTAAGATCCTAGAAGAGAGTAAAATTTAAGAATTTTCACCACATGCAAAAGAAACGTAACTATGTGAGGTGATAGGCGTGTTAAACACATACATATGTCGCAGCACCTGGGTGGTTCAGTCAGTTAAGCATCTGCCTTCAGCCCAGGTCAGGAGCCCAGGTCAGTGGGGAGCCTGCTTCTCCCTCTCCCTCTCCCCTGCCCCTGGCACTTGTGCTCTCTTGCTCATACACACTCTCTCTCTCAAATAAATAAATAAAATCTTAAAAAAAATATATATATATATATATATATATACACACACACACATATGTCGTATCATCACACTTTAAATACATATAATTATTTTGTCAATTATAATTTGAATAAGCCTGAAAAAAATTTAAAATAAGAACAGAAAAAAATCCTGACTACATAATTCATCTTCTAATTTCTATTTTTCTTACTCATGTCAGTGAGAGAAAAATAAAAAGTTTTAAAATTAAAAACCAGATCAATTTTGAAGTAGCTGCTTTTCCTATTAGAGTAAGAGAACTTCTTTGTGTATTTTAAGTCCCAAAGAACTAAACTAATGTGTGAAAATATTTTTAAAGGAACAGGAAAAAACATTCTCAACAAGCAAACAAAAAAAAACACCTGGGGTCCCATCATCACCAGAAGACTAAAACATATGGTAGTACTCTCCCGTTTTTAGTTAACTGTTATCCACCCTTTTCTCTGATGTTATTTATTTGTGGAAAGACAATAAACTTTGAATAATGTTCCCTAAACAGGAACACATTTATATATTGACCTAATTCTGCTGATATTTCTTAAATTAAAAGTGGTTTCTAAACCAAAACATGTCCAAACTCTAAGTCCATAGTACTAAATAAAATGAAAAAAAAAAAAAAAAAAAAAAAAAAGGAAAAGGAAAAAAAAACCCCACAAACATGTAAGTCAAAATCTCCCTACATTTTTATTCTTTCATAGGCTTCTATTACTGAGAAAATATATTTGTCTTAAGTAGTTTGCACTTACCGTAAGAGATGGCATGAGAAAAAGGACCACGCATATGAAACAGCATCTCTACAGTGAACTGACGGGTGCCGTAATATTAAAGGGCTCCCTCTATTCAATCTTTCTGAAAAACACTGACCACTTGTGAAACAGTGACATGTGCCTGTTGTACTTCGAGGTTTGTTTGTTTTTTTTTTTAAATATGACTGGGTTCTTAAGTCATATGAAAAACCAAAACAACAAAAATAAAAGACTTTTCATTTTTTTTTCTATCCAAAAGAGAATATTCAATGATTGTGACCTTTTAATGAGATCCTCGAATCCTGACCTTATCTTTTCAAACAAATTTTAGACTAATTTTAGAATTGCAAAAAAGTTGCAATGATAGCACCGAGAACCCCTTGTGAACCTTTTATCTAGCTTCTTGTATTGTGGATGTGTTACATAATCATGGTACCTTTGTCAAAATTAAAAAATTAATTTGGGATAGCATTGTTAACTAAAACCAGATTTTATTCTGATTTCACCAGTTTTTCAACTTAGGTCCTCTTCCTGTTCTGAGACCCAATTCAAGATCCCATGTTGAACTGGGAAGCCTTACCTTTTGATCTGTTTCTTCATCTTCATCCTGATAATCATCACAGAGTTGGCTGGCATTGGCTGCAAAGGTGGGTCCCTGGGAGTAGTACTGAGAACTTCGGTAGCCATCCCGCCTCAGTTTGTCACATTCTACAGAGGGTATAGGCCAGGGAGGGGAGAAAGGGCATTAAAAAAAGGATTTGTTTACTCCTCTTTCTTTTTTTTTTTTTTTTTTTTGTTTACTCCTCTTTCTTTACCTTTTCTAGTAATATTTGCCCTAAGTATAAGATGTCAAATAAACACTATTAATAATGAAAATGATGATAAAAACAACTAAAAGGGGAGCCTGGGGCTCACCCAGTGAGGCATCCAGCTTTTTTTTTTTTTTTAATTTTATTTTATTTTTTCAGTGTTCCAACATTGTTTATGCACCACACCCAGTGCTCCATGCAATACATGCCCTCCATAATACACACACCAAGCTCAGCCATCCCCCAACCCCCACCCCTCTAAAACCCTCAGTTTGTTTCTCAGAGTCCACAGTCTCTCATGGTTTGTCTCCCACTCCGATTTCCTCCAATTTGCTTTTCCTTTCCTTGTCTTAATGTCCTCCGTGTGTTACTCCTTATGCTCCACAAGTAAGTGAAACCGTATGATAACTGACTCTCTGCTTGACTTATTTCACTCAGCATAATCTCCTCCAGTCCTGTCCATGTTGATACAAAAGTTGGGTATTCATCCTTACTGATGGAGGCGTAATACTCCATTGCATATATGGACCATATCTTCTTTATCCAGTTGTCTGCTGAAGGGCATCTTGGCTCTTTCCACAGTTTGGCGATTGTGGACATTGCTGCTATGAACATTGGGGTACATATGGCCCTTCTTTTCACTACATCAGTATCTATGGGGTAAATACCCAGTAGTGCAATTGCAGGGTCATAGGGTAGCTCTATTTTTAATTTCTTAAGGAATCTTCACACTGTTTTCCAAAGTGGTTCCACCAACTTGCATTTCCACCAACAGTGTAAGAGGGTTCCCCTTGCTCCACATTTTCTTCAACACTTGTTTTTACTGTCCTGTTAATTTTGGCCATTCTAACTGGTATAAGGTAGTATCTCAATGTGATTTTGATTTGAATCTCCCTGATATCTAATAAGCATCCAGCTCTTGATTTCAGTTCAGGTCATGATCTCAGGGTCATGAGACTGAGCCCCGCACTGGGCTCCACACTCAGTATGAAGTCTGCTTGAGATTCTTTCTCTTCCTTTCCCTCTGCTCCTCTCCCCACTTATATGCTCTCTAACATACATACATACATACACAAATAAATAAAATCTTAAAAAAAAAAACCCAAAGAATTACTAAAACACTGATTACACATTATATACACTGTTCATGTGTTTTAATAGGATTTCCTTTACTTCACAACAGCCCTCTGAATCAGTTTAAAGTAATTAAATTATTTGCTCAGTAATGTTATGCAGATAAGCAATGGACCTCAGACATTAAACCCAGGGGCTTAATTACTATTATTTTTGATATATAGCAATTGATTATGTAACTCCTCATCAAAAAATACAAGCAATTCTCATGCTATGCTTCTTTCCAAGACTCATCAGCTGGAAGTGACATGAGAAATCATGGGTAATGATGCCCTCATTATATTTTTAGTTCTCAACTTAACGTTGATGCCAAACAGGCTATAATCATTGAGTGGAATTTAGTAAAAGGCCAGTGGCAGTCGAGACGTCTGCCAGTCTACAGAGAAATGCCTGGCTCCTGGAAGGTAACCAGGAGCATGATGCTCTGCTTCACAGAGGGGCTGGGGCCACTGGCTGCTTAGAGGCTAGGGACTCCCTTCAAGGAGGAACCATTGTGCTAATTACTTGGATCAGTGGGGGCAAGTGCAGCAAGAAAAGTATTAATGACTTTTTAAAGCCCCAGGAGACTTTCTATTACCCAGACAGCACCTTAGGGAAGCATTTGCCTTGCAAAAGGGGTTCACTCACCACAGGGTACCTTTAAATATCCAGCTTTCTGAAGGAGTATGAAATGTGTTTGGTTTTGGAAGTTTCCTCTCTGCACAGCTTGACAAAACCATGCACGTAATGGCACAGAACTAAAGTAGGGCATCTTCAGACTGCCTTTATAACACTAGGATCTATGATTCCCCCATAGAGAGGAGATGAACAGTAGCTTTAATGAAAGGATAAAAATTCTCCAACCAGCGGGAAAAAAATCCTTACTCTCCTTTGCTACCTCACAGTGGGAGTGAACAGAGTTTCCAATCCAGAACTGCAAATCAGATTTGTAAAAACCTCAGGAAAATAGTCATGAGAATCTTTCAGAATGCCAAACTAACTTTAAAAAATGCATGACATAATCACATGCTATGTAATTACTTTTACTTCAGTTACTTAGGGGCTAATTTGTGGGCTCGTCTGTCAACCACTCTTGCGTAAAATGGAAAGATTTTTTTTTTAATTCTGAAATTTCCAGAACACAGTTTATTTTTTAATGAGGATTTGCTCATAATAATCTAACCCTTTCCAGTGAGAAATATTTTCTCATTTCTCCAATATTTACAATTTCTCTAAAAAATTTAAATGTAACAGAATTATACTCTCCTTCTACAGAGAGAGTATTATATAAAGCATGATCAGTAGTTTTCAGTGTTCTGTGAAAAGTTTTGGGATTCTGTAAGTATTGATTTGATTTTTAATTACCTTAAAATTGGGATGGAAAAAATACTCGTCTTACATTTCATTAACTTGGGTGCTGCAAGTTAACTTTTCTGTGGTCCTATAAACTATAGTCTCCTAAGGATCCAGGGTGAACCTTGTCTCACAAATCAATAGAAACTGTTACCACTGTAAAAGGAACATACCTCAACATAATATAGGCCATATATGAAAAACCCACAGCTAACATCATACTCAATGGTGAAAAACTGACAGCTTTTCCTCTAAGACCAGGAACAAGACAAGAATGTCCACTTTTATTCAACATAGTACTGGAAGTCCTTGCCACAGCAATCAGACAAGAAAAAGAAATAAAAAGCATCCAAAATGGTAAAGAAGCAAAATTTCCCCTATTTGCAGAAAACATGGTACTATATACAGAAAGCCTTAAATATTACACCAAAAAACTACTGGAACTGATCAATGAATTAAATAAAATCACAAGATACAAGATTAATATACAGAAATCTTTACAACATATCTATACACTAATGAGGAAGTAGCAGAGAGAGAAATTAAGAAAACAATTCCATTTACAGTTGCACCAAAAAAGAATAAAATACCTAGCAATTAACCTTAATCAAATTTATGAAAGACCTGTACTCTGAAAATAAAACACTGATAAGAGATTGAAGATGACAAAAACAAAGGGGAAGATTCCATGTTCATGAATTAGAAGAACTAATATTGTTTAAAATGTCTACACTACTCAAAGCAATCCACAGATTTAGTTCATTCTCTTTCAAAATACCAATAGCATTTTTCACAGAACAAATAATCCTAAAATTTGCATGGAACTACAAAAGACCCCAAAAATCCAAAGCTATCTTGAAAAAGAACAACAAAACTGGAAGCATCACAATCCCAGATTTCAAGATCTACGACAAAGCTATAGTAATTAAAACAGAACGGTACTGACACAAAAACAGACATATAGATCAATGTAACAGGATAGACAGTGCAGAAACAAACCGATACTTTTAGGGTCAATTAATCTTTGACAAAGGAGGCAAGTACAATGGGCAAAAGACAGTCTCTTTAACAAATGGTGCTGGGAAAACTGGACAGGTACATGCAAAAGAATGCAACTGGACCACTTTCTTACACCATATACAAAACAAACTCAAAATGGATTAAAGACCTAAATGTGAGACCTGAAATCATAAAATTCCTAGAAAAAAATTTCGTTGACATTGGCTATAAAAATATTTTTCTAGATATGTCTCCCCTGGCAAGGGGAAAAAAAATCCAATTACTTTTGAGAGTACACCAAAATAAAAAGCTTTTGCACCGTGAAGGAAACTATCAACAAAACAAAAAGGCAACCTACTAAATGGAAGAAGATGTTTGTAAATGATATAACTGATAAGTCGTTATTCAAAATATATAAAGAACTTATACAATTCAATAAAAACTCCCCCCCCAAAAAACCCCAAATAATCCAATTAAAATTGGGCAGAGGAAATGCACCGACATTTTTCAAAAGAAGACATAGATAGACAAACACACAGAAAGGTGTTAACATCACTCTCCATCAAGGAAATGCAAATCAAAACTACAATGAGATATTCATACCTGTCAGAATGGCTAAAATCAAAACTCAAGAAACAGTGTTAGTGAGGACATGCAGAAAAGGGAACCCTCACGCACTGTTAGTGGGAATACAAACTGGTGCAGCCACTGTAGAAAACAGTATGGAGGGTCCTCAAAAAACTAAAAATAGAATTACCATATGAGCTAGTAATTCTACTACTGAATATTTACTCAAAGAAAATAAAAACACTAATTTGAAAAAATAAATGCACCCTTATGTTTACTGAAGGTTTATTTACAACAGTCAAATTATGGAAGCAACCCAAGTGTCCGTCAAGCAGTGAATGGATAAAGAAATGATGTGTGTGTATAAATGTATAATGGAATATTCGTCATAAAAATCTGAAATCTTGCCATTCACAACAACATGGAGAGAGCTACAGAGTATAATGCTAACTGAATAAGTTAGAGAAAGACAAATACTATATGATTTCACTTATATGTGGAATTTTTAAAAAAGATGTATTTATTGGACACAGAGAGGGAGAGGGCAAGCACAAGCAGGGGGAGCGGCAGGCTGGGGAGCGGCAGGCTGGGGAGAAGCAGTCTCCCACTGAGCAAGAAGGCTGACGTGGGGCTTGATCCCAGGACTCCAGGATCATGATCAGAACCAAAGGCAGATGTTTAACCAACTGAGCCACCCAGGCGCCCCTGTATGTGGAATTTATGAAACAAAACAAATGAACAAAGAAACAAAAGACAACAAAAAAACCAGACTATATATTCCATATTTAATAGAAAACAAAATGGTAGTTGCCAGAGGGGAGATGGGGTGGGATGGTTAAAACAGATGAAAGAATTAAGAGTACACTC